TTTATTTTTTTCTGTGTATATATGTATATAGAACTTTTAAATATGTTTTTTTTTCCTTATGGTTCAATTAATCTACTTATGTTCTGATTTTTTATTCTCTTAAAAAAGTGTAAATTTTATATGTGTATGTGTAAATTGTTCGCGTTTTTGAATGTTTGTTCAAAATCAAAATCAAAGTTCCGATAAGCTGTCACTTGGTTGTGCGACCTGCGACCATGTGTATGCGAGTAGAATCTTCAAAGTCATACGCGCGTACGCACAACACTTTGACGGTGTGAATCATATTTCCAAGAACTAATACTAGGTGTAGGTTTAATGTTACTAAAAAATGTGAATATCGTCGCAAATTTTAGTCCACCGTGTACGTGTGGGATGTTTGAGTGTGTTACATGAACGTGTTATTTTTAAAAGACAGAACTGAAATTCCACATCAATAAAGAGTAACGACTTTCAAAAAGAATTATATGCCAGTGAAATGATTTTCTTTCAACGGTTTGTTTTAATGAATGTAGTAGTAGCAATTGAGATGAAAGTTCAGTATGATTATTCCAAGTAGAAGTTTTCGATAATACAGTAACAGACAACTCTTCATAACACGATATTGAGGAGACCATCGAGGTATAGAACAACAAATCCATAGGAAATAAATTTATGAATCATTTTTCACTATGATTCTACAACTCGATCATATCGACTTAATAAAATACCGAGTAGTGTAGAGTTGACCGTACTTAAATTCGGGTAGATGTAATATCATGACTGATAAACCTGGTAAGTCAAATTGTTGAAACATGTCCATAAGTTCGTAATTTGGAGCTTAGGAAAACCATACTGAAACATTGAGTGTAGTGTATGATTTATCTCATAGTTATGCTGAAAAAATGTGTGTTCTAAAATGAAATATTCATATCCTTATGTGTTACTGTGTAAGTATAGAGAACAATGTTACGGTTTTTGCTTTTCTTTTTCAACTTTTTACTTAATAGAGGTATATTTGAGTTTTTTGTGTAGATTAATTTGCAGGAAAATTATCCAAAAATAACGTCGAAGAAGGTGAAATAATCGGATTAATACCGTTCAAATGATTCCATGCGTCTATAGTTTAAATCCAAGTAACAAGAATGCACAAAGGTTTAGTTCTCCTTTCTAGTAGGTAGGTGCATGTGAAAATGTATTATAAATATATTGAAACTTTTTACGAAATCGCTTTCTCAAATTAAAAAAAAAAAAAAACAGCGTTATTAATGATACATTTCTCCAGTATAACACTATTGAATACTTCGACGATCAATTAATCGGTTTGAAAAAAGAAGGCAAAAGAACTATTCATCGGTATAGGTAGTGTTTTCCAAGGTGAAAATAACTTATTGTTGTATTTTGTAGAACGTGTGAGTGCTCGTGTTACAAAAGTTGGTGCGAGTACTGAAAGGTTAAAAGTTTTCAAAGTTCCAGATTCCTAAAAACAAATCAAAGCTGCAGAATCTTGAGAATTTCGCTGGGATACCTATTAATCTGTGAGACCACACTTTTCTAAGTTCAGGATGCAAAAAAAAAACGTGAGAATATTTACACTCTGGAATATCAAAAACTTTTCCAAACATGAGTTCTCAACATTTTTTTAAGAATTCAGTTTTTTTTTTTTTATATTCCACATTTGTAATTTTTCCAAGTCTAAAAAATCTAGAGCTTTTGAAACGCTCACAAGCTTTCAATGTAATTTTCAAATTTTTACAAGAAATTTCTCATCCACCACCTTGAACTCATCTCCATCGACTTTCACACATCTGCTTATGCGAGCTCTATCGCGCTCGGTTCCTCCATTCAACCGATACTTGGTCTTCGACGTATTCACCAAAGTCCATTCCAAGAAAACCTGGTACTAGAACGGATTGGAAACGATCTACCTCAAACAGTACCGCTAGTCAGTCGATGGTGCATCCAATCAAGTGGAAAAACTACTTTCTCATGTTGTTTTGTTTTTCTGTGAGAATGGAACCTGCATCTTCCAAGAAATCCAGTATCATCATGTGTCAGTCTTGCATCTGCTACAACACCTATGGAACCTTCATCACCTTCACAGAGCGAATTTACGCTTGCTAAATCACCAACTTAATCAACACCGCTGATGGATCCTACCGATGATACGAGACGACTTCCACAATTCTGTCGGCTACAACCCCATCTGCGTCCTACACAGTCAGTTATAGAACAACGTCGTCGGAGATCTAGAGCGCTTCCGAGCGCAGTCCAGCTATCACGTTGCTCTTCGAAAGTTCGAAGGCAGCCTCTGTGTTTCGATCCCTACTATCTTTATTGAAGAGATATTCGTTAGAATTTCATTTCCATTGAATTATTTTCAGTTTTCTCTTGGTATTATACTCAAAACTATATTACAATGATTATAAGAAAACTGTTTTAGAAATATGCTTAAACTTCTCACAATTTCCTAAAAAATCTCTTCAATATTACTTTGGAAATCTAGTCTGAAGTCCCTTAAGACTTAAACTTAACTCCTTGGAAATTCTCCTCTTTACCTAACAATTTAACTTCGATCATCCTCAAAATATCTTTGAAATTCTCTTTAACATTCCAAAAACTCCCAAGGAATGATGCATAGATTTCCTTTGCAATGCTCACCCAGAAATTCCTCGAACTGCTCCTCAGAATTATCACGAAATTAGCAATTGCTTAGGATTTTTTTTCCATAGAATGCTGCATTGGAATTTCGCACTTACTACTTTCAAAGTCACCTTAAATTCACTCGAAGGTTTCCTCTCTTGGAATATTCCTCTGAATACTCGTTAGGATTCGCCTGCAACAGAAGGTCCTCCGAGTTCGCTTGGAATTCTACTTAATTTGGAAGCAATCCTTAGATCACACTTGAACTTCTTCTCACCCCTTTGAATACTCCTGAGAAATCCATAGAAATTCTCCACTGAAAATTCATCGATGACGAAATGCATGGGAAGAAGAGGCTCAAGAGACGAGAATGTTAGACTCCTACCACGATTTCGAATTGACGGGCGATGAAATCAAGGTGATCGCCGAGTTCGTGTATTTGGGCTGACTGGTGACCGCCAATAATGGCACCAGCAGAGAAGTTCAAAGACGCATTGTGACAAAGAATCGTGCTACCTTTAGACTCCGAAGAATGATCCGGTCGAATAAAGATTACTGCCGAATGGTGTTAAAGAGCAAATTAGACCGATAGTCCACTAAAGCCACGAGACTATGCTCGTGGAGGACCAACGCACCTTGGTGTTTTTGAACGAACCGCAAATTACACCAGCTGCTGGGAGAAACACCCATCGTCCACCTAGGTATTGACAAACCGTTCGAAAATAGTTCCAAAGGACTAGTTCTGCTGAGCGAACGAATAAACGACCGTTTCTTTTCAAAAGACCGGTAGTTATTTGGCGACAAATAACTTAAAAGAAATGAACTGAACTGAGGAACGAGAAATGTATAAGAACTATTTTAAGTTCGAAAAGGAACTAGTACGAAAATTAAGGCAATAACGAACGGTTGCTTTCCCATAGTTCGCTGAAACTTTTACATTTTTCACTCTCGTTCTCATGGTACTTATGCAAGAGCGAACTACGAACTAGTACTGCGTAGATATTTGTGCCATATTGAAGCGAACATGTAACGCCGATTCAAGGACTTGGCATATCCGAAGAACTTCGAGATTAGGGCGTAGTCACAGAACAGAAGTGGTACTTTGGATCAGGAAGTGGCTCCACTATTCATTGGCGAACACTAGCGCACCTAGCGGTAGAAGGCATCTTCTACCGCCAGTTAAGATAGGCAGCATGCTATGATAGCGTGAGTGCGCATAGAAAGCCGGTGTGGAACGCTACCACAACGCATCGCTTGTTGAGCAGAAAAACGTACCACTTTTTGATTCACTGATTTGTTTGCACTTCCCCTTCTGTTCTGTGGCGTAGTTGCTTTTGTAAATAAACACTCGCGAATAAAAGCTCAATCTTGTGAACAAATTATACCAAATGATAGAGGAATCATTCATCTACCTGTTTGTGTTTTTATTTATTTAGATTGAGTTTAGATTCGAGAGAAATCGACGATTAACGTGTTTGTTTACAAAAGCAATTACGCCCTAATCTCGAAGTTATCCGGATAGGTGTCCTGTTGAATACATTTAGACTATTCTGCGGCTCCGTGACTTAATCCCGACGCACTGAATCTTCGATACTATATTCGTGAAAATAAGGATTATATATTTATTGTTTCGAACAGTAATTATTTCCACATTTGAACTGGAATTATACATCTAAAAACAGAAAAAGAAATACTGTTTTAAGCGAATACGCCCAAAATAATCAGTAAGAACTGTTCCACAATTGTTTCTCATTATTGGAGTAAACTTATTAGTTGAGTTTAAGCATTTGAGATCAATTTTACATCAAATTACTAAAAGAAAGGAAAAACCATAGAAGTAACTCTAAGACTAGTAGGTCCCGAAGAAACGTGCTCAACTTTTTGGCTCAGCTCTGGTACTCTCTTCGTTCCCAAGCTAATCGATGCACCCCTCGAAACATGGGAAAGACCCACGAACCCCTCATTTTATCTGTCAAACTTTCATAGAGAATCAAAACAAACATAGTGTAGTACCAGAATGTCAACTAGAATGGGGTACGTTAATCGATTTGCTTGGGACCAATAGGCTAGTCAAGTAGTGAACCAATTTCAAATCGATAGTTTCGTATTGATTGTTGGAAAAACTGTCCAAAAGAACAAGTTCTGTTCAATGAACTGAACGACTCGGAACTGTTCAGTGAAAATAAGTGTTTTTCCCATCTCTTTCACACCACAAAAATAGTGCCACTGTGGGCTGGGCACATCGTAAGACATATCTGGCGCTCGACTACATATCTGGTGATAATGCTTCTCGAAAACGACCCGACTGAAACCAGGTGGAAGGCGACCTGCGAAGCTTTCGCAGACAGAGTGGCTGGCTACTTGCAATGGAGCCATGAATAGAGTGGTAGGTCGATGATGCGATCTAACAACTTTTTTTAAAGATTCTGAAAATAACTTTTGTTACTGAACTAGGGGAGGATATTTGCCACTCCACCCATATAGGAATCTGTATTGAGCCAAAATCGAACAATATATATGTATATTGTGTGCCTAGGAACACATTGAAAACACTCGGCCATGATCCGGTTGCCCCAGGGGAAATGGCCAAAATTTGTTAGGTTATTCAATATTAACATCATTCAGAAATTGTCTGACTTCTCTTCCTAAATATGCAGATTCGAGCATTTTGATTGGAATTTCAATTAGTAACAAGAGTCAAACACCACAAGTGGATCAATTCAGATGTTTTGTTAAGTTACGAAAGGCGAAAACATACGCGCGATCGAATGTCTTTTTCCATTGCCATTTTATAATCCGGACGTAATCTCAGCAATTCACTTGTAGATACCTACAAATAGTTGCAAATTAAATCATTGTAATTCTGGTTCTTGGAACTCTTTCTTATGCGTACATGATTGATAAATTGTCCAGTTATAATCGTAGTTGAGCAAATCAATTTTTAGGAAAAAAAAATTCAAAGGAATCTATAGAAATTCGACTGTTTTTTTCCTGGAATGTTCAAATATATGTCTGTTCTTTGCCTAAACAATATTTTAAAATTCTGAAATAACGAATCTAGCATTCCTGACACATCGATAAACTGCGCTACTAGTTTTATTTTTATTTTTTTCATTTTGTTATGACGCTACTAAATTTTAAGACACGTGATCATGTTTTAGTTTCGCTTGTAACGTTATTTACAGTATTCTATGCCACCTTTATCCAATTTCTTTAAACCGAAAACATCTGAAATAGGTATGTTGATTATGAATTCAGTGCAGTTTGCACATATGCATGGATAGAGTTTGTTCCGTACGTACTTTTTTCTTCATACTATTTCTGGAAAGATTTTTCCTGCATAATTTATCAATGTATCTAACTTTTAGTGCAATATATGTTTACCTATGTCAAATGTACACTTTCACTCATAAGAGTTTCCCATAACCAGTAGTTCGTTCCGCAAATGTTACAGCGGCATTCGGGTACGTAATGCAAAGCGTTTTATTAAATAATTGCCGCAAAACAGTTAATTCCATAAAAAAACAGTTTCAACTGAGCTGATCTTAATACAATAGGCAAAATGAATTACAGGCAATGCATCTTCTATGAGCGACGGTGTATTGCTTCGACATACCCCTTTTGCTTAGTTACTACTTTAGACAAAATGTTAGTTAGATCTACTGCATTTTTTACATTTCTTGATCTAATTCCAAGTAGTTGTATATTTCCTTTCCAAAATGAGATCTTGTTTTCTATAGTGTAACTGCTTTCTATGTAACAGTTAAACATCGTTTTCCTCTGAGATAAATAGAAAATAAAATAGTTGCTTTCCTTTTCTGTTTTCTTTTTTTCTGGCTTCTACCTTACACCGGTTTGGCTATTGTTCGCAATAGCATCATACACTACAAAACATCTACATTCAGAATCACGTAAAGTTACACATCTATGAAGAATTAAAATGTGTGCTTATTTTTTGTTTGTTTCTAGTTTTTTTTATCATGCTACTTTATTTCTTTTTATAATGTCACTATCATGTTACTTTTGACGATTATTAATCGTAATGTGGATGCATTCTAAGAACTTTTAAAATTATTTTCCCTCATTTTATTTTTCACATTACTTTTTACTCAAACCAAAAAGTTTCTATTTATTCTTTCGGATTATTAGCGGAAAGGTTTCTGTCCTAACTATTACAAGAGAAATTGCCGTTCTTCGATTCTTTATCTACGTACATTTCTATTTTATTTAATAGTAGAAGTCGACTTAAAGTTATCATTTCACTTAGGTTGTAAGCGAAAATATAATCACAGATCAAACGAAAAATAATTCACACGTGGTTTTTTGCTATATCGGCAACTGAAAAAAAGTTTTCATGTTGTTTTCATTGGAAACGCTTGTAACTTTTGTCCAATATGTATATGAATTACACATAGTATTTGTGTGATCACATGAATTCTATGTGATTTTCCATACACAGTTCATTGGGCACATCATTTTTATGTGATTTTGTGGTTAGTTATGCGTGCACTTGCAAGTGAAATTTCACACGAAAACAACGTGGTAACTTCTTTGAGTGCAGAGCCGAAATATTCGCACACTTATCGAAAACTTCAACCCTGATTTGTGTATGATGTTTGATGTTTTCAGATGTCAATGAGGAAAATGGATGTGAGCGTACCTACTACCTATATCTAAATCCGTTTCTACTACTTAACAAGAGCAAATTATAGTGATGAGATAAGAAGTTTGAACGGCTGAACACAATCTTTTGTGATAGTATAATGTTGATCTTGGGCTACAATTTGGATTTCTTTTTTAGAAGTATGTAAAATATTAATCTGTCGAATGGAAAGCTTCATGTTTCTACTTAGGTTGGTTAAAAATGAGGGTGTGTATAATATAAAGTGTTCAAAATTAAAATTCATTTAAAATAACATATTGTTTGCAATTGTTTTAAAATATGAATAACTAAAATACATTGTCTACTTAAAGCATGAGGTTGGGGATTTTTCAGGGTTGAACAAAAAGGATAAAAAGACTTGAAATAGGAAGAAAACACAACAAGGCCATATTATATAAAGATCCGTAAGCCACTCGGATAAAGATACGCCGGAAGGTTTAACATCAGTAAGTAACACCAAAAATTCGCCCACTTGATTCAAACCTTTACTCAACTCAACAACAAAATTAGATCAAAACCCAATTTTACAATAAGCAATAAGATTTTGTTTTCGAAAATTGTTTGCATTTGAATAAAAGGAGCGAAAATTGGATCAAGTCTAGACCAACGTGGGGAAAGGGCGGACGAGCCAATCGTAAACAAGTGTCGATTTCTCACGAATCACAACACTTCCACGTAGGGCACGGTCCCGGCGTAGCGGTTAACATCCATACCTCTCACGCCAAAGTCACCTCATCCCCGGACAAGCCACGAATGACCCAAGAGTGTTAAAGTGATAGAGCAAACTCCCCCTCATAGTGTTAGTTTGCATGTATTAGTCATTGTTTATATTTGGCTGTTCGCCCCTTTGTTCTAGAAGTGATGTCCTATTGATGTTCTTACCCGCAAAGCATTTGACGCACAGTTCTAGCTTTAATAAGAATAATTAGATCATGAGAAAATGAGCTTTCAACCATCATCGAGAATCGCTTACGTAGGCCTGCTTGGACAACGTTTGTAAACTGATCCAATCAATCAAGAAACAATCAATAGCCAATTTAAGGGACGTATCATCTGTAAAACTATGCAAACCTGAACAGCAATGCAGGTATTTTGTAGGTAAATATTACGGTAAAAATCAATAAATAAAGCACAAGCACTGGTCAAGTGTTTGCACTTTGAAAAACCTCAGGAAAAAGAAAATGTCCATATCAGTTTACGAAACATTTTCCGAGTCAGAGACGACATGATTGATGGCTCTATAATCCAATCTCAAACCGAGTTATCTGAACAAATCGTAAACCACTTCTACTTTTGCTTACCCTTCACAAATCTGGATGAGATGAGTGTGAGTTTTATTTTTACTTTAATCTTCCGCCAGCAGTACCCGGAGGAATACTGCCACTACCAGCCATCGGACTGGGGCCGTGACCTGCACCCATGTGGGGTGGCGGCTGTTGAAGATGCTGTTGGTTCTCCTGGCCTAGTTGAACACAGTTCACAGTCATATTGGAGAAGTCCACCACGATTGGTGCGGAGATCAGATGATGATTCACGTTCAGATTGATATTTTGCTGATGATGCTGATGGGGTAGTGCCGCCGGAGGATTACTTACAGCCAGGGTCAACATAGCCGCTGCCTGGTGATGATGATGGTGGTGATGATGATAGTTTGGTGCACTGGATGTTGACCCAGTAGCTGCGGGAGTCACTGTCGGCGGAATACCACCCGGTGGCATATGGTGGAAAGAAGCAGACGATCCCGCCGAAGGAGCATGAGGATGCTGGGACGATGGAATTGCTGGTGTATGGTGCGGAACCAAGGACCCTGACGATGACTGAGATGGAGCATGGAGCAACGCCTGGGACAAAGCAGCTGACTGATGGTGTAGTTGGGATTGCTGAGATTGCTGATGCTGTGAGTGCATCAGACTATTGTTGTTCCTATGGTTGGCTGTTGAGCTGTGACCTAGGTGTTTCATACTAGCTAGTGTACCTGTGGCGGCAGCAGCTACAGCCGCTGCTGAGATGACCGCAGACGCTGAAGGCGGTAATGTGGCAGCAGCTGCAACTGTTGCTGCAGTTACCCCAGAGGACGATGCTAAAGGTTTCATAACACTATCTTCATCTACAACAGTTCTATTGTTATGATTGATCGCCGCAATACCCAGTGTTTGTTGCTGCTGCTGTATTGACGGTCCAGAAGAAGTAGAAGTTGCCGATGAAGAAAGTGCTGGTGATGTCGTGGAGTTGGCAGAAGCGGCTACCATAGCCACGGCTGAAGACGAAGAATTCGAAACATTGCCGGTAGCCGAAGTAAGGTTGTTTAGTTCGGAACCGATCGACTCTAGTCGTTGTCATTTAGAATTGAGAGCTGCGTTGATCTGAGTCCAAAGTTCTTTCTTGCAGGACTTCGAGCTACAAAATTAAGTGTGTAAAAATTACCATAAACTTTTAAATGATATGCTAGTAAAACTTACCGCTTAATAGATTGCAGCCAGTCTTTGAACTGTGCACTACCTTCAGGCGTTATTTGGAACGCATTCCGCGCAGACAGAATAGTGCTGGTAAATTCTTCGTAATCCGCTACCGTTAAATGGTACAACTTTTGGTGAATGCATTGGATGTACCTGAAACCAGTTACACATAATTTAGTCACACAACCAAGGCGTAGTTCAGTAAAACTTACATCTGCTGACATTTTTGCATCAGTGGTGCCAGTGCCGAACGCAGGTGCTGCATTACCACTGCCGGGTTGTTTCGAGAGAGATAGTGAGCCGATTCGATGGCTACTTCATGCAACACGAATGGTGAAACGATCGAATTTACCGCGCAAACACAGAATTGATGGAGATATTGGGTGCCAAGACGTTTTGAGATCCGTAGCAACCATTTGACATCCTCTCCGTAGGGTGGATTACGTGCATACTTCGCTTGGGGTCGATCATCGTGAACTCTTCGAGCCAGAGTTTCGAGTGCGAGCATACCAGCATTATAAGCCGCAAGCAAATAGCGTAGTTGAGTAGGAGTGAATTGATGGGGATGGCGTTGCCGAACAGGAGGAGTTGAAGGAGGAACAGCGTAAGGCTGATAACCATGCCCAGGTTGCGGCCGCGGAGGTGGTGGTTGTTGAGGTTGAGGAGGTTGCTGCATAGAAACCGCCTGGGGTCCATAGTATTGCAGGTTCTGTTGCATTTGCTGCTGGTTAGGCGGTGGCGGTGGAACCTGAACCTGAACCGGAACTTGTGGATACTGTTGTGGATTGTATCCCTGTGGGGGCACTGCCGGGTGTGGCTGAATAGGCTGATAACTTGTGTTTAGTGGCTGCTGATATCCTCCTGGCTGTTGTTGCGGGGGATTGTTATGTGGTGGTGGTGGCGGGTATTGAAATTGTGGTGGTGTTGATATATACATCTGCATCTGGTTGGCATGGTAAGGAATGTTTTGATGATAAATTCCTTGACAAGGGAAACTATAGGGTCCGTATGGAGCTAACCCAATCGGTGCCAACGTTGTAACTGTCTGTTGATACGGCTGAGGAGGTGTTGCGCTAACTACAACTGGTTGATTCGCTGGTGGAGGAGGTTGCGCTTGTTGCTGCATGTCACCAGAATCCATCAAGGACATGATATTAACGCTAAAGTAATCATGCTGTTCGTTTGGCTCCATCTCCCCTCCGGGAGTGTTTCTCAAATACAGCTCGTACCAATAACGAGCCACTTGGAACAGGACTTCGGGATATACACCACCCCCCTTAGCAGCATTTTCCACCGTCAGACAAGCTCGTTCCAACATTCGATCACTTTGTTCCTTACATTGCAGTATCGCACGTTGAATTTCATTTGGATTCAAGGCGGCAGCATGAGGCAACACGGATAGTGCTAATTCTGCAGCTGGGTTCACCATGTTGCTATCCCAACCCCGAGAAGAAGCTCTATCGGCCATTCCTGCAGCTTCCGGTGGAGTCAGATGACCTTCCCATGTGTCAATCAAAAATGATATAGCCGGGGCACCTATATCCATTGCTTGGCCAATGATCCACGATACATGGGATGAATAGGTTCTCGAGAGCCAATTGGGACTGACACAATTGTGCAAGCCAAGGGCATATAATCCCAGCTGAAAAGCACACATATGCAACCCCCGATGTGGTCCTTGATGATTTTGATTTGTCGAAGCTTGTGTAAACAACGAAGTAGACGATGTTCCACCAGCTTTCGTGAGGACATTCTTCGCCAACTCAAACATGAAATGTGCGCTTGCTTCCGACGGTTGGTTCGGGATAGACGGATACGCTCGTTTACCTTTGTAGCGGGAATCCTTCGAACGGGTAGTTGTCGTGGAGACCGATCCCGCCACACTACCTGGGGGTCCCGTAATTATAGGTTGTGCGTTAGATGGTCCAGGAGCTGGCCCTGCCGGCATAGGTTGCGGTTGTCCTAAATTGAGCGCTCCCATCCCTATTTCCACTTCGGCACTAGTACTGCTTTGAGGACGGCTATTAACCATGAATTCATTCTGTGGTAAACCTGCATGGTGCGGTTGCTGAAGATCACTACTGGCGTACAACTGTTGGCTGTTCGATTCATACTCTTCCATCCGCAATTGTGATGTCTGACTTCGTGTTGGTGGATTGTTTGAGTAATACGATGGTAAAAGAGGAGTTTTTATCAGAGAATGAATTTCCCGATCTAGTAACTTTTCCATCACGCGACCAATTTTCCTGGGATCATCTTTGTAATACGAAAGCAGAGTCAATGCCAGATCTCCCCGTTGCCGGCGAGTTCCTTCGCAAAGAAGCGGATGTTCCGCTTCAGAAACATTCGCCTTAAGACCCAATGCAGCGACAGCCGCTTCGAATCCCAGATTCTCATCTGTGGGTAATCTAAATGATTGACTCATAACCTTCATTCGGTTCTCCCTACCAATGATACTGGGCATCACCAGTGCATCAAAAATGAAGCTTGCTAACATGATAGGTAGCAGCGCTTCACCTCGTGATTTTAGCGTTCCATCTCGCAAAGCTTCTGCCCTTTCTCGTATGATGTTCAGTTCGGAATGACCCAGGGGAATGCGCTTCAATAACGCGAGCAGATCAGACTCCTGGTTTGCGAGTTTCACCTCCAGTGGTTTCGTACTCGCTGGAGGTCGGGACATTTCTAATCCGAACAAACACACACGGAATGCCAGATGATAGTGTTCTGAATTATCCGCGAGAACAGTACACAGAAAAGCACACTTTGCTAATGTGGCTGAAGCAAGCACACTTAGTTGATGCGAAATCGGATTTATGTTGTGCTTTTTACCTTTCTTCTTCGGTGGAGGCGGTAGCTCAATCATCAGATTGGGAGGATTGGCTAGCATTTCCTCCGCTAAACGAACACCGAGAATGCAAGCTTCTCGTCCATGACCATGAGCATGGAGACCTTCTGCGCGGGCAAACAGTATATCCCAAGCATCTTCCGTGGGCTTCAAGTTGGAAAATACTTGCTGCGGTTGTTGCTTCGATTCTTGCGGTTGTCGCTGCTTTAGCTGTTGCTCTTGCTGGTGCTGTGCTTGAGCTTGCTTCGAGTCGTAGTAATACATATTATATTCATCAATGTTCTGTTGACTATCTGAGCTTGATAGGCTTTCGTCTTTCGATGGCCGCCGTTCGTGTCTGTCAGAATCAGGAGATATTTCCTTAGACACAGTGGCAGACGAGCCTTTTCCTTCATTATGAGACTTTTCAGTTTCGCTCAGGGATTTGTTGGCACTTGTTCGACTGTTTTCGGTTGGAACAATCTTCGTAGCAGTTGTAGCCGTCGATGGCGACGAAGAACACGTTGAACTTGACGTTCCCGGTTGTGCATCTGGATGATATACTTCGTACAGTTTTATGTTACCGGAGATATCGTAGTTATTCATGTCATTTAGAATGCTGTTAACATCGCTGCTATCCGATGGCATATTACCAGAACATTTAGCAGCGCTTTCTTCTGCACTTGACGACGAACTATTTGAAGATTCGCTGTTACTTTCATTCTTTTTGATCGGAACAGGAGCAGATATGTCTTCCATCACATTTACATCATCATCGTTCTCGCAGAACCCTTCGCTGCTAATGCTGGACCGATTTCCTCCACTATTTATCGTCGTTGCCGTTGTAGATAGATGCTGGTCGATCTTTGAACTACTTGCAGTTTCGTTCAGACGATCAGGCACGCTGTCACTACTACTGTTGCTTGATCCATAGCATCGTTCCCGGTGGCGATAGTCTCGTCGATGATGAGATTTTGACGCCCCTGAATTAGCACCACTAGTAACCACGGCATTGCAGTTGCTACTACTTACAATAATCCCGCCACTTCCGGCTGTTCCAGCACCTGAGCTGGACGAAGCCGATGCTAACACTGCCCCACTATGATGACCACCATGACCGTGATGATGATGGTGACTAAAGTGATGATGGTGATGTGGTACCTGTTGGAACTGTTTGACATTATTCTGTAGTACCGCTTGGCTAGAGTTAACCTGACCTAAACTAGATTCAGCCTTTGACTCACTATTTTGCTTAAAACACGTGAACGGACAGTGATACATCGGATTCGTGTCCTGCGTGTGTGTTATGCCTTCGATTGGATAATCTTCCCAGTCCAAATAACATGCTTCGATTGCCGGCTTAAACCCAGCAAATAACTCTGCATCATTTCTCAGATTTTGCTGTTGTTTACTGCTGTGTGACGAAGATGCGACCATGTTCTTTGCTACCCTGTCTAATATCTTCAAGTGCCATGTCGTAAACTGTGCATGAAGCATATCTCGTTCATCTGGAGCCAGTCCGGGATTCAACGAAGCTAACCTCCACAAGACTACAATTTCATCGCACAATGAAGCGCATGCATGTTGCGTTGCATTGGAGTTCGAATGCGTATTACTATGCTTTCCTCCTCCATGTCCATTTGACCCTACCAATAGCGCAAGCTTAATGTTGAACCACCAAACCAAAATTTGGTCACATGCCATCACTTCTTCCGTGATTACTTCCAGCAATCGTACAGCATTGCGATCACATCGTCTGTACATTTCCCTCACAATCGACAGTAAATTCCACATTCCTTCCGGTTCCCTTCCCCTCAAGGGACGCAACAAAGAACTCCATTCGGCAGCAGCCGGAGGAGCAGAGTTCGTTAAATAATTTACATCGCTGAATACCATGGGCGTTGGCAAGCAAAATTTGATCAATATCTTTTTGATGTTGTCGTGTAACGTTTTGTCGTCCAAATACCAGTTTGTCTGATCATTCACCGAAGCGCCAGCAGTCGGATCGGGAGCCCCACAAACGGTATTTATAGTTGTTGGCTGAGAGCTGAGCAGTTCATCGAGCAGGCGTTGTGCAATTGGTAAAATTTGCTGCGATAGTTCGCTGATCAAGTATTGAGCAAACTTTTGCAACTGATCACGTTGCAGTCTAGAAAGTGATTCCGAAACCGGCGCGCGTAGGCTGACCTTCGTAGGCTACAACATACAAAATACATAGAATTTATTTTTTACTGAAAATCCAACACATTCAAGTTCAAGTAATACTTACACAGTGAATCCTATGTAAGCAGACGGCGACCACATGAGAACACCAGTACGCGGCCGGCAGGCACGTACAACTGCAGGACGAAATCCTTCGGCGGTCGAATGTAACGGCCACATTGAACTGATTCCGAGGCTGCGTAACCACTACGGTGGCTGATAGGTGGAACCCAATTTGTAGCGGATCCTTGACCGCTCGATTTTTGAATAGCTGTTCACCCCGGTGGAATTCGTCAGCAGAACTGTTGGCCAAGCAGGAGTATAACCGAATGTCTTCCTCATTGTCGGGAAAACTCCAGTAAGCGATTCGTAACTGAAGTTGTTCAGGAACAGGAGGGTAGACATGCTCCACCAGTTCGAAGGGTATGTACGAAGCCACACAGCGTGCTGCTAGTTCCGTTAGTGTTGTTACTTCTGAAATGGAATCGAAATGTTCGTATTTTTATAAGCACCAATATTTGACGGAATTATAAAACATTTAATGACTAAACTCGACAGAATCGGGATGTATGTGTGTTTGACTGTTTGAAATTAAATTTGATAAGATGTATTTGTTAGAAGCAGCTGCACCAACTTGAACGACACATAAGATCATTGATGGTAACATTTGAGTGCGTAAGACCATATTAGCAACTTCCATACAGATTTCGTGTGTTCAAGCCATCATTGGAGCTGTTGATTAGAGTGGGTCAAGTTTGAATGGCGAATCACAATCCCCTGCTCCCCACTTCTCTTTCTGTATTTCTCCACCATTTTACTGCATTCCATATATAAATTATTTGCATATACAAATCAAGACATACTTCGATCCAACATTCGACACTATCATTTTTACGCATGTTCCGGATCTTCCGGTGGGCCATATGGTGACCACTCCGAGCCAATGACCAGTAGGTATAGCAAATATCACCAGTTTACTGCATTCCATATAGTTTCAGGTAAAAATCAAGGCATAGGTACTCCATCAAGGCATGATCCAAAATTCGACAAAATCATTCTTACGGAAGTAGTTATACTGACATGCAGGTTAAAAAACCTGTTTAAAATACTGAATTGCCAAGACATGAACAATGTAAAAACACTTAGATATATATCATAACAATTAAGGCTGGTACGTTACTGCAGTAACTGGAGCACCTAGGTTAAAATGAAATGTTATTTATTTTGAATTTGGAACAAATAAAGAGTTAAAAAAAAAATCTTACGGGAGTACCGTATTTTCTTGTGGGCCATCTGGTGACCACTCGGAGTCAATCATTTTTACTGATGTTTCGGATCTTTCAGTGGGCCATCTGGTGACAACTCAAAGCCCAGTTGATATTTTTTTTTATTAATTACTTTATTTGTACGGGCTCAAGCGAATAAACTTTACAGAGCCGAGTTATCATTTTCGTTATACACTATAAATGTCTTATGTTTAACGTTATAGTTGATACATAAATAACACAATTTTCCTGCATTCCATATAGATTCAGATAAAAATTAAGGCATACTTTGATCCAAAATTCGACACAATGATATTTACGGATATTCCGGATATCCCTGTGGCCCATCTGGTGACCACTCAGAGCCAATGATCAGATGGTATATCCAAAATCACAATTCTATTGCATTTCATACAGTTTCGCTTACCACTACACCACCGGCGCCGTTATCTTTCTATTTTGTTATTTATTGAATTATTTGATAAGGCTCAAACGAATTAACTTTACAGAGCCGAGGATTCTTGGTCACTCTACATCTTAAAACTATAGTCAAAAGGTACAACACAATAAACACTTTATCTTCCGCTATCCAAAAAGCCTCCTCCATCAGAACTGAAGCCGCTTCCAGTGGTTTCATTGTATGGCAGTGGGTCAGAGCGCTTCCATTGCAGCAATGGACGCAAAACGTGGTCAGCACTCACACACTCATCACTAAACGGTTGCTTTCCAAAGTCGACGATGCATCGACCAAAAGAACTGCTGATGAAGAACAATGAGGAGTACCACACAATGGTCCCTGCCGAGTAAACAGACGATCGAGAGTGGCCTGCTTTTGTCGACAGCCGAGTGAACACTGATCTTTCCATCTAGTGACCACTACACACCAAATTTAAGTTTTCATTATGAGTAAAACGAATTGCTGGATCATGATCAACAATCCAATCCTTTACTGAAAAACAGTGAACGACATTTTTACCGAAAAAATCAGCTAACATAAACTAACACCCTCTTTGACTAGCTGTCAAACTGTTAGCACAGACAAACAGACGTATCTATTTGAAAAAGTTTTTCTTGAAAACATAGGACATCAGTAACGACATCTCTCGGGCTTCTCGCGGAAAACAAGCTTGCTCGCCAACTCGCAAACAATATTGCATAAAAGTTCTCTAGAATTTATAGAAACGTCAAAGTGATCCGATGCCAGTGCTGCGGCGAGTAGTTCGCGGAACTGATAATATTCAAATCAGTCGTTAAATGCGTGAACGAAGATACACAATGAAGAGTTACGTCTGCTTGTCTGTGCTGTTAGCATCACAGTCGCAAGTATTTTTGTATTCGTACACAACCGGTCAAACCGCAGGAGGAGGAAGAGGTAGAAACAAACTACAAATAAATCAAATTATGTAGGTAAGGACACTGGTTATATTTAATAAATGATACTTGGAATAGAGTCTGGTGATTTTATCTTTATTATTCGTATATTTGTATCAACGATCTTTTACCTAGTCTTTTACAGAAGCTCATATAGTGAAATAAAATTCGATTTACTGAATTTGATAGTTTAATCAGCCAAATGTTAAAATTTTGAATTTTTTGAAAGATCAGTAAAGAAATATTGCTGATTTTCAGTAAGAGGTTGTCATTTTGACAGAAGTTGGAATTGCTGGAAAATTCAGCAGCATTATTTTGCTGGAACGTTTGCTAATCTTTCATCAAGTCTAAAATCAGTAAAAATTTTGCTGATTTTCAGCGATTTAAATTTGGTGTGCCTAGTTGATATATCAAAAGTATCAAAAGTCACAAATTTATTGCATTCCATATTCTCGCGTAACATTTAAACACGGCACAAAAGTCTTTTGAAAACAAAAGTTGCAAGGCCATCTACACGCGAACCGAAGTACGCCCACGTAAGCCACAATCAATATTCCGGATTTTCTGGAACTTCCTGAGGACCATCCGGTGACCATTCAGAGCCTGTGACCATCTGATATATAAACAAAATCCATTTTACTACATTCCTCACGGTTGCAGATAAAAATTAAGGCATACTATGATCAAATATTCGACGCACTTAATTTTACCGATGTTCCGTGGACACTCCGAAATTAAAAACAGGTTGTAGGTTGCTGTTGTTAAAATAATAATCAGTGCTATTCATAGAAGCCTGCTGATGTGGTTTTGTAGCCTCAGCAACTTTTTCTAGACGACCTCTGCCCCAACAGGATGCCCTTGCGGAACCCGAAATACCCACTTTTAATGATTGTAGGGTTAAATACCCCATTTCCAGCCTATTAAGCATAAGACGCACTTAGTCTTTCTTAATCTAGATCAGTTTAGCACCAAACGGAATGTTATTATTACTGATGGCTTCCAAATTTATTTGCCTTTCCGTACGTACCATAAGATTTGAAAACGAGAAACCAAACGTTGAGATATTGTCAAAAGTCCAACACTGCTTCTTGACGCCAAACTCGGCCTACGGATTCTAAACTCGGCCTAACGCATTGAAACGCAATTGAAACGCCAATGAATTCACTTCGGCCTATCGTATGAAGATAAAAATTGATTCGGTGGGAGCGCTTCTTTTGTTTTTGGGAATAATGGGTGCAAACTTTCATACCACGCGTTCTCATTGACTTCGTTATAGCTTATTAACTAAAGTATCGTACCAAACGCATAATTGACTTGTTAACTCTGAAATCATGGATTTATTTGAAGTTTTCTGCTCGATAGGCCCAAAATGGGCGATTAGGCCGAAGTAGTGCTCTACCCTATGTCATCATGCACGATAAAATTGTAATTTCAGAAAATTTAAACAGAAGGTATAAATTTTTCTCACATAGTAGGGACCTATGGAATGTGTAAACATATAAAAGGGTTGGGTTGCACTAAATTTCGATGCAATAGAAATATTTGTTCACCTATGACTATGAAAAAATAGCCGGCGCCGGTGGTGTAGTGGTAAGCGTGACTGCTTTCTTAGTTAGTGTTAGTATCAAGCATGAGGCGAGACAGTTTCTAGATGAATTAAAGAATTAATTTCTGCACTTCGTGCTAACCGTGTTCATAAGATTAGTTGGGACATCGTAAGATACCTTGTTTAGTCTGACAAACATCAAGGTAGAGAACCTAAAATGTTTGTATTCCAAAACTTACGACTCACATGATGAAGATTAGGTCCCACAAAGCTCTACGGGCTTGTATAATAAATCAGAACATCGCACAAGATTTTATTGGGAATGTAGAACATCAAGATTTAAGCTCCAGGATATTTTGGAGAACTTAAAATGCTTTTGAATTTCAACTGAATATCAAACATTATAGGGCTCAAAGAAGGTTTACTCGTTCTAACATTTAGTCGAGTCATCATAGAATACCTTGAGTCTGCAGAACATCAAGATCAGATCTCCGGGATGATTTGAAGAATCAAAAATATTTTTAAAACGATGCGATGCCTCCGAAAAACGTGTAACGGCAAGTTTGTAATAGCATAACTTCTCCATTTCTTGATGAATTTCAAATATAGTGGTACTTCTAGAATTCCTAGGGCCTGTACATTATTTTGATTGTGAAAATAGGGTCGTCTACTTTATACAAAAGTGAAAAGAATCGTTACCCGTTTTTTTTTGTTAAAGGAGTGTTTATGGGTTTTGCAAGTGGCCTAAGATTCATAAATTAGATTAATGGGCAAAAATGTTCATAATTAGCCAGAATACAGTCATGGTTCCTATATATGGAACCTGGAGACAACGGAACGGTCCTTCGAAAGATTCGGAACATCCGTAAAATTGGTCAATCTACGAAACTGATCCTAGAGCTCCGCGGTTTTTTCGAAAACATTGGGAACTGTGATATAAGAAAGAATTTGGGTTCATGACATAAACACGGACCCGGATGGCCATGGGAGCGTGCACAGGAAGATCCGAAGTATCTGTAAAAGTGGTGCATTCATGAAACTGATTCTAGAGCTCCGCGGTTTTTTCGACAACACTAGAAACTGTGATATAAGAAATAATTTAGGGTCGTGAAATAAACATGGTCCCGGATGGCCATGAGAGCGTGCTCAGGAAGATCCGAAATATCCGTAAAAGTGATTCATCCATGAAACTGATCCTAGAGCTCCGCAGTTTTTTTTTTTTGAAAACACGTGGAACTGTAATATAAGAAAGAATTTGGGGTCGTGACATAAACATGGACCCGGATGGCTAT